TAATCTTAAAAGACATAAGAGGACCGCTCCATGTAGATGACAACATACCCTCTAACAAGAGTGGTGACACGATATGATTGTAAGGGTCACCTTTGGTGAAGTACAAGCGTGGCCATAGTTAACATATAGGATTATTATGGTTGGCATGGCCGTGGTCATAGATCGTGTCATGGTTTGGCAAACCGTAAATATGTTGTTGGTTTGACAAGCTTCAAATTACTGATATAATATGAAATAAATTGTTCATTCCACATGGGTAGTCGGGAATCCGTATTGCCCTCAGTAGATGGAAGTTGGAACGGCTTCACGCGAAGAATAAAATGAAAAATTGTGCATATCATGATTTGTTTGATTTTCTTTATTTTTAGCATGATTGATTTGATTGACATGATATGACTTTGACTTGACATTTTTTTCATTAAATTAAATTGATTTCATAATTAATAAAGAACCATGGCATGACTCTTGATGGTAAGTGATTATAGTACTTTTATTACATTTGAAATCTTATAATATTACTTAAATACTACTTTCCTTACTGCCCCCCTCAAGATGAGGAAGATAGTGAGGAACCGATTGCTGACCTACCCCTTGAAGCCTTTGAGGATCCTGTGGATCCATGAACTTATATGAGTGCATTATTGTCTCGCACTTTGATGAGTCCATTTTTTGTAGAGACTTGTAATTAATTTTATTTCTACCTCAGTATTGTATAGAACTCTATTATTATTTTGTAAGGGATTGTAATTATTTGTTTCGCTGCATATATTTATCTATTATGTACTAGTAATCTGTTTCTGTTTATGTATATGGCACCCTTATGCCTTAATTAGCATTTGAGATGTCATAATCATAATATTTCTAAATAAATATTTTCTTACATCAACCCTAGTCCTATGGATCGTTGTAAATTATAAGTGGCAAAAAGGTATTTTTCTAAATGTTTTTTTTAATTTCTTAGTTATGTCAATTTCATATCGAATGCCTTACTGAGTTGCATAGAACTCACACTTTCTATGTTGGGCCCTCCCAGATGATGTCAATAAAGATGTTTACGATGAGTTGTCCGCTGAGTTACCACTTGAAGCTTGTCTGGATCCTATGGATCCATGATTATTGACAAGTGCATGTCTTGTTCCGCACTCTAATGAGTCTATTTACATAGTGAAAAAAGTGATCTTCTTTTATATTTTGTTATTTTGTATTTTATTGCCACTTCTAACCTTAGTTGTGTATGTAATTAGAAACTCATATATTTTGTAAGAAATTTTGTATTGTAAAAATTTCTTACTTTTACTCTCCCTTGGTTAATTTATCTCTCTCGCTTGACTCTTTTCTTCCCCAAGTATAAACGACTCCTTCTATCAGGTCCTCTCCTTCACTTTACATATTTTTCCTTTTGTTTAGGTGCCTTCTGCCCAACATAAGACGAAGAAGAAGGCTTATATTTAGTGGAAAATTTAATCGAGGTCGTCCTTTTTCTTGACAAAAATCGTGGCAATTGGATGCAAGTTAAATGAGGGGCAAAATAATCTTTTCGCCCTCGCGTTTAATTTTGGCTGTTAAATCTCTCTTTTGTGAAATTTGTGCCATTGGTTCACCGTATCTCTGTTTTAAACTGAGAGACCTTGAACCATTCGATTTTTCCCACACATAATTATAGTCGTTCATTCGCTTTTATCTACTAAGGGTCAAACATCTCCTAGCCATTCATGGCATCTTTGGTCTATGGAGGCTCATCTTGACCGTTCATTCAGTCTCTCTCACTTTCCTCAAATTGCATGGCTAGCCACACGACTGACCCTAGTTCACCAGTGGACACCTTACACACTGATGTGTCCCTTGTTTTCGTAATTGCTTATTTTCCCTATTTTATGTCTTTTTCTATTTTAGTCCCTACCTATTATTTTAATATTTTTTAGTTTTCGAATTTTGATTCTTAAATTTTTCTTGAATTTACATCAATCTTTTTTCACCATATTAGGTTTGTAAAAACAAATTAAAATTTTGTTACGTGTAATTTTTTTCACGTATTATATCTAAAAATTTTAAATTCTATACCCTTTACAAGTTCAAAATCGTTATACCATGGAAGTTGTAACAAATTCTGTGACATCTCATATGCTAATTAAGACATGTGGTTGTCATATATAGAAACAGAATTATGAGTACATGATAAAAATGACTAAATCAAATGCAGATAACGGTAATTTTCTCAAGCACATTTCTGACTTGTCAAATCATGGTACGATCTATGACCACAGCAGTAAGAACCATAGTGGTCCTATCATATATTCTATAGTCACGACAGTATTTAGCCAAAAGTGACTCCTGAAAGATACTTGCGTCACTAC